TTTATTTACCTACCTAATGCTAAATAAATAAATAAATAAATAAATAAACTAATTAATTAATTTAATTAAGTAAACTAGTAAGTAGTCCCCGCAACGGGGGCAAACAGAGCAGCAGCAAAAGGTAACAGAAAGAGTTCGTTTCTTTGCCTATTACTGTTTATTCCTCCTTTCTTCTATTCATTTTTTGTTTCTTTTATCTATCTAATTTATTACTAATTATATTATTTATCTAAATAAACAACTAATAATAGATAATAGTAAGACGTGCATACAACAAGAAAGAAATAAAGAATGCATGCGTCTAACAGAAGGAAAGGAAGAGAAAAACAAAGACAGCAATGCTGTCTAGAAGGGGAGCTGCTGGGGTGTATAGGCAGCTCATGACAATACACTTATTAAGGAGTTCTTCTTTTATTATATTTATTACTATTATATAATTAAAAAGATAAAGAACAAAATAAATAAAATATTCATATACACTCAATACTTGAGCAGACACAAGAAATAAATGCATGCATGCATGCAAGCATGCATGCATGCATACTTGCAAAAATGCATGCATGCAAACTGCATGCATGAAGAAAAAATGCATGTAAAGATGCCTGCATGCATGCTAAATGCATGCATGTAAAAATAAATACATGCATGCACGCATGCATGTATGCGCATGCATGCAAAATGCATGCATGCATGCATTTTTCTCTGCATATAATATAGCGGAGTCTGCAGATGAGGTGTATGTACACCGCAAAATAAAACGGAGAATTAAGAAGAAAAAGAAGAAATTAAGAACATAAATATAGGCATTAATATGTACATAATAACAATAAGGGGGAGGGGAGAGAGAGATAAAAAAAAAAAGACAAGAAGAAAAGGCTCGCAACACCCATGCTGCTGCTGCTGCTGCTTCTGCTATTGCAGGAGCAGCTGCTGCTGCTCCCTCTGCTGCTGCTCTTGTTGCTGTTTTAATAGTTGTAATATTCCCTCTGCTGCTGCTGCTGCTGGTGCTGCTGGTGCCATGTCTTCGTCTGCTGCTCCTTTCCCTCCTTCATCATGACAAGATAGATCCTTATAGTTTGCATGCATTCAAGTTGCTGCTGCTGCTGCTGCTGCTACTCATGATACTATTGCTGCTGTTGCTATTAAGTGTAAATGGTACACATAGATCTGCAAGTTGTGTTTGTTGTGTCTCTGTCTCTCTTCTTCTTACATTTAGTTCCTTAATAGCAGTAAGAAGAAGGGCACTACCTATTAATAAACAACCAGGGCCCCCTACCCCCCCTCCTCCCCCCCTAAGGGAATCAGCAATAGCTGCTGGTGGTAAGGAAAGAAGGAAGCACATAGCAACAAGCATAGGAGAAGGGAGTAATAATAAAGAAACCTGTAATAATATATTATATATTGTACTACATAAACAAGAAAGAAGTAATAAAAAACATACAAGAGGTGTAGGTACACCTGAAGGAAATGTTTCAAGCCCCAATGCATGCAATATAGGTATAGGTAACCACATAAAAAGAAGGGAAAGTGCCCCCATTATACCCGATATAAAGAAAACAAATAAAAGAGGTTGTGTAGATCTATTTTGTAATAAATAACCCTTATATAATACCTCAAATAGTCCGTATACAGCAGAGGAAATAATAGATAAAGATACACCTAATGAGGACTGTGGCTCCCCTTGGCTATCATATGTAATGAGTGCAACACCTACAGCAGCAATAATAAGAGAAATAATTTGTATAAAATCTTCTATTCCTTCTTTATATATAATAGATGTAAAAAGAAATATAAAAAAAGAATTTGTACTATATATAGCAGTTACGCTACATACACTCATTCCTGGTGTACCTACAGCTATACTCCAACACCATCCTTGTACTAAATAAAGAAATAAAAGGAATAAACATGCCATAATTAACATTCCTATTCCTTCATACTTTAATTCTTTATTAAGAAATGTATTTACGCTTATTATATATACCTCTATATAACGTACATACACCTCAGTATATATACAATTACGTACACGAGATATTATATTCATGCCTCTACTTTCTCCTTCTCCTGTTGCTGCTGTTGCTGCTGCTGTTGCTGCTGCTGCTGCTGTTGCTGTTGTCTCGTCGTCAGCAACAGTAGGACTTAAGCTTTCCTTCAAACCCTTTTCTTGGTCTGCTGGTGCTGCTGCTGCTGCTGTTGCTGCTGCTGTTTCTTCTGGTGCTTCTGTAAGGGAAGCAGCAACAGCAGGCTCATGTGCTGCAGTGCCCTCCGTGTCTACTGCTGCTGCTGCTGCTGCTGCTGCTGCAGGAGGTGCATGCAGCAATGAGTCGGCAGGACTAAGAACAGATACTTCTTGACTTGTAAAAGGCAGCAATTCAGGTGGTTCTATCATGCTGCTGCTGCTGCTGCTGCTGTTGCTGCTGCTGCTGCTGCTACTTCTGCGTATTCTTCTTCTTCTTGCATATTTCTTACGAATAGCTCTAAGAGAAATAAAAAGAAAAATAATTTGACAAACTTGTGGTAGCCAGACCATGAGGTAGGGGACGCGTAGTCTCTCTGTCCTTAATTCAGGTGTACGTACGCTGCAGGGCTCAGCAGTAGGGGGAGGAGGTTGACCATCAATATGGGGAGGACATGGAGGCAGCAGCTGCTGCTGCTCCCCATCCTGCTGCTGCTGAGGGTAAGTTAGTACCTGATGCTCCTGCTGCTGCAGTACACGAGTTAATACACCGCTACATATATAAAGAAGAATATTTATTAAACAACACAACAACCCCACCAATAAGGACTCAGTAGATGTCCCTGTATAACGATGTATAAGAGGAGGGACCATGGATAGAGACGGCAGCAGCAGCGAACGGAAGGGATGAGTATCACCATCCCCATCATTGCTGCTGCTGCTGCTGTTGCTGCTGCTGTTGCTGTTGCTGCTGCTGTTGCTGCTGCTCCTTATACAGGTGTGCGCCATACTATCGCTTGATTGGTCATGATGGGTATAAGATAATCCTTGACTTCCTGAGCTTAGAGGAGAATAATGACACTTCTCTGCCGATTCATCATTCTGCTGCTGCTGCTGCTGCTGCTGTTGCTGCGGCTGCTGCTGCACTTCTTGTTGCAGTTGCTGCTGCTGTCGGTGTTGCAAAGACTCCGCCGTCGGGAGTGCCTCGGCGTCACTGCCGAGACAATAAGAGCCAGCTGAAGAAGTGCGGACAGGGGAGTTATTTGAAGGAGATAATGGGGTGTACGTACACCTCATCATATGCCCAGTAGACTCCATGGCCTCCGAGGGCGTATAAGGAGGAGGCATCCTTGTTAGGCAACTACATCAGGTCATGATAAGGCCAAGAGGTGTATGTACAGCTCAACAGACGCAGCAAACTGAGCTGAATACAGAGGATTCAACTATAATTATCCTCTGTTCATTCTTATGCAACTTTTTATGAAGAGTTGAAGAACTGCACGAGGTGGCGAGACACTGCAACTGCGTCGCTGCAGCAGCTGCTGTGTAGAGTGTAGTAGGACCACCAGTAGTAGGGGATATCTACCTAGGGGCTTCTTGAAGAATAATTAATGGTATAATTGTTCCTTTTATAATTCTATACTTCTTTATTGATCCTTAGAGGAGAAAAAGGATACATTGTAGGGCTGGCGACGCCAGCAGCACGCGGCTGCACACCGAAACCCGATTGAGTGCGGGGACGGGGGGGCTGCTGGCTGGCTGACAGGGTGAATATTAGTGATTTGTCTATATTTATTTCGTTTTTCTTCTTAAATTGAGTTGATTTATTCTTTTTTTATTTGTATTTCAAACAAAAAAAACAATAAACGCGTCGCCGCCATCAGACAGCGGCAGCACTCGGCAGAGCTCGCAGCTGCAGTGGGCAGTGCGCGGTGCTGTATACAGAAGTGTTGTTGTTGTCTTGTTGCTGTGCATCATCTTCTTACATATGTTTTACTAAAATTAAGACAAAACAGAAATAAGAAGGATATATTAAGAAAAGAAGGATTTAAAAAGAACATCGATAACTAACGTATAAAGGGGACCTCTCCGCTGGACTGTCTCGGCAGCTACGCCGCTGTGATACAGGAAAGCTATGAGTAGTATTGAATTGCAAAAACATCTGCTGAGTTTTACGAGAAAACGAATATTCATATATAAGTAAAAGTATAATTGTTACATCCGCAATAAAAATATCCATCGGGGCCGCCCATATAAATACCCCGAAGCTCTGCAACATCCACGGTATGCAGTCTGTCGCTGCAGCTAGAGAGAGAGAATAAAGAATTCATATTCCTTGCATCCCTAACACATTTCATGGTTAACTTCATAGTATATACTTCTTTGCTGCTGTTCTCTGTCAGCTACGCGGCCTGTGCTGTGTGCTGTCCGCCTCCTCTACATGAGGAGAACCACTGGTCAACTCGGTTCATAAATAATGAAAGAACTTTAATACTTAGAAAAAGAATTTAGATATACAATCTCTGCTGCAAATGGCATCAATATTAGGCATTTGCCTTTTATGTTTTTGTCAATACTTCTGTACAGGCGGAACAATACTGCAACTGAAACCCCAAAGTGGGACTGCGGCAGTTTCTGCCATTTGGGGTTTTCTTAACTCCGATTAAGTCTTACTTTAGACAGTCATTTGTATAGAAACGGATATGCATATGTATACAAAGCATTATCGTGCATGATTCCCTAGGATCCTCGAAGGAGTGTTCGATTTCTGCGGTGTCTCGACAGCTCGGGAACGATGCTGAAATTCAACTTTTTTGAGCGATATCATCAGGCGGGTTTCACAGGAATATCGACCATATGGCCGAATTTAAGAGGAAATAGGCCATAACCCGTCATGGGATGATGATTGTTTTGCTTTTAAAGATCTGTTTTTGTGTTTTACTGCCACATTTTTGTCTAAGCGCCACGCAAAACCGTCAGCAAGACGCAAACAGGCGGCATGGCGCCGCTGCGGAGGAAGAAATTTCCCCCGCAATTCACGATGGAGGCAATTTTAATTCAAGTCGTGTGGGTAATACTTTTCTTTCTTTGTTTCTTTGCTAGTTTGTTGCTGCACAAACTTTCGCCGCAGCCAACCTTGAACGATTTCCTTGCCACGACTGGTCGGCGCTACTTCGCCTCGAGCGCCGTCGTCTTCTGCAGGTCTTAGAATATGAAAATCGACTTATTTGATTAGTAATTAATTCGTAAACTTTGGCTGGTGCATCAGGAGGTCAAAAGGCTGGCAGCGAGGTCCCTATACACCCGAAAACAACTCGAGCAGGTTGTCGGAAACGCAGTGATTCTGACCGTGCTTAGAGCAAATCAGAGATGGGTTACCGATGAAAACATCAAAGGTTCTTTAGTAGTTGTGTAGCTTTAGTGAACTATCATCATGATGATATTTCTTCACAGGGATGATAGAGCGGGAACGGGACCAGCTGCAGGTCGGTCTTCTAACAACAAGCAATCCCCAGAAAAAATGTGCAGTGTACACACACCTCTATTCCTTCAGTCGAAGTTGTCGCGTCAGATGCACAAAGATGCAGAAGACTTCAAAGAGAACACCGAAGAGGCCTTGGAAGAGGAGGAACAGCAAACAACAGGTGTTGCTGATTGCCTTATCTCTGCATGCATGCAGGCTTGACCTGTTATAAATGTGCATATGCAGCTTCTTGTGCCCCTGGAAAGAGGAAAATAATTGTTGTAGAAGAAGGTTAGTCCTTTGCTTTCTTCCCTCTTGTATCCTCTTGTAATAAACAGCAGCAGCACCAGAAGAAGCACCAAAAGAGAAACGACACAAGAAACCCCCCCCTGCTGCGCCTCCTCCTCCATCTCCACCTCAAGTTCAAATAATACCTTTGCCTTTTCCTATACAAAAAGAAGGAGAAGTAGAGAAAAGGCATGAAGAAGAAGAGAAGGGGATTAAGGAGAAGGAGCAACTTAAAGAAGTGCACGGCCTGTCACACAAAACCCAACTGCGTCCTATTCAACGTACATACACAGAGGCGCTGCCTCATGGAGAAGAAATAGGAGAAGAAAAAAGGATTCACGCAGAAGAGATGGAGGCACCAGAGGGAGAAAGGGGGGAAGAGGGAAAAGAAGAAAAAGTTCAAAAAATATCTCAAGAGACACGTGAAGTACCCGAAGAAGAGGAGGAAGGAGAGGTCTGTCTTCCTCCCTTCATACTTGACGTCTTAGCAGCAAACCTACAAATGTATCTAGGCATTAGGACCCTTATCTGAAGAAAAAGAAGAAAAGAAAGAAGAAATACCCCCTAAAGTTGCGGTGGGTGCCATCATCATCAATGATATATAAAAAGGAAAAACAAGAAATTTAACAAACAGGAAACCCCTGAAGGGGAACTCAAACCTACAAGGGAGGAAAGGAGAAAACTTAGGGAGGAAGAAAGAGAAGAGAGGGAGGAGAGAGAGGAGGAGAGGGAGCGGCAAAGAGAAAAGGAAAAGGAAATAGAAGAAGAGAAAGAGGAAGAAAAAAAGGAAGAAGCAGCGAAAGAGGAAGAAAGGAAGGAAGAAGCAGCGAAAGAAGAAGAAAAAGAAAAGGAGAGAAAAGAAGAGGAAGAAGCAAAGGAGGCAGCAAAAGCAGCAGAAGAAGAAGAAAAGGAGAAAGAAGAAATAGAAAGGGAAAGAGAAAAAGAGGAAAAAGAAATATTAAAAATTCCTTTACCGCCAATTCCTTCGGAGCTTCCCCCTCCTAAGATATCACCAGAGGTGTGTTTGTCTCTACATATTATATAAATTTAATTGTAATTTGTCTTATTTATTCAATTTATCTGGTTAATTAAATATTTAATTTATTTATTTATTTATTTTGCTGTTGCTTCCTTGCTACCCTCAGGACTTACACCCTTCTTGGGGTCCCGAAGAAAAGCCATCAAAACCCCCTTATGTAAACCCTAACTATTCGCCAGAGGAGAAGGTGAGGAATAAGCAATAGAATTAATGTTAGAAGAAAATAAAAAAAAGAAGGATTAAATAAATAAAAAAGTATAAAATGTGCTTCTATGTCTTGTGTGTTCGATGTGATTCAGGAGGAACTCATAAAGAAAGAAGAGGAAAAAGAAGGAAAAACAAGTATATGGTGCGATTTAATTCAATATAACTAGATTACTTAGTCTTTTGTTTATTTCGTTTTATTATTTTTAGGATATGGGTTTATTTTGTCTTCATTTACCCAACAATTGTCACCCTTTTGTTGCTGTCATTGGCTTGGTTTCTTTAAGGAAACCTCCTGTGTCTTAAATAATCCGTTATTATTATCCCTTTTATACCTTGTACAATTTACTGTGAATATGTAATATAAAGAAAAAGATATGTTTTAACGTCAACATCTCTGTTGTTTCTCTTTCATTTAAGTTTTGTTTGCTATGTTTGTAGACCTTTGCATACAGGTTTCTTCATGTGGTTATCCAAGCTAGATCTAGAGGAACTGTTGCTGCAGTTCTGCTGCAGTCATTGATGACATGTGCCATTAAATAATAACTACATTGAGAGCATACATGAAGAAGAGGAGAGAGAGAAAATGCTCTTCTTGTATTCGTATCTTTACTGTGCATTTAGTCAGAGTTCATGCAAACTAAAGAGCAGAAGCCACGTCCCCGGGGGACGCACTTTGCTATAAATCTAGTTTCCTGCTAAATCAAAAATAAATTGATTAGTGTTACTATAATTGCAATTATTTCAGAGTTTAAGGGGGATTAAGTGATGTTCTGCTCGCAAGTGTCCCTGACGCTCCGTTAGTTATGTATGGCCTTTCCTTCCCGTTCTTCACAAGTTTATGATGTTATGTTTGCAGTGAATAAAAGGAAACAGAAGGAATGGTTGTTTCTGTAATTTCCGCCAATTGTACGACAGATGTTAACGGAAAGTGTTGTGCCATCCTTTTCCCTCGGGAAAGTCCTTAACTTCGAGCTGGAATGCATTTTTACACGAGTAAAAAGAGTGAAAATTGGATACACTAATGTAGTTGAATACAATTTAAAAGTATTTCAACTGGACATGAGCATTTTGGCTTGTTTTGTGATACCTTCTCCCCACGAGCCTTCATCCAGTCTGCACACATCTCAGAGTCAGCCCCGCCCGGCTTTCTCCTTCCTAGCTCATTTCTGTGATTAGGTCCTCCAAAAGTACTTGTAGGTGTTAAATAAATGAATATAAATGCCCTGACTTCTGTTGTTATTTGGTTCTTTTGATCCCAAACCCCTGCTGAACTAACGAGATCCCAAGCTCAGATGTGCCGGATTTATTATGCGTACACATCCGTGGCCTGGGGTCCCGACCGCGTGCAGAAAGAAGATATCTTTTGGGGTTCAATAACTAAAATACTTGCACTTTAAATGAAATAAACATATTTTATTCGGAAATATGAAGCCACAGCGGGAGGAAGCGATCCCCGGTATACCGACAGCACAGCACAACAGCAAATCCCAGCAGCACGTATCGGCTGTGTCATTAAAAAAAGGTACTAAAAAGAAAGCAAAAGTAGTCTACTGTCTCTGTCACACGAAATACCGAGTCATCCGTAAAGTCTGCTCGAGCTTTCCAGGGTGGGTGGAGTGCGAAAATGAAGACGACGACTGGGTGAGAATAAATAAAACAGGACGAAAACAGACAAAACACGAATTAAACGCTAAATTCGGCATTAGCGGTACACAAACCGCAAGATAAATGAAGCAAAGAAAGCGAGCAAGCAGCATGCAACGTGCAAACAAAAGGCAAATAATGTGGCAAAACCAAACGAACCGGTCTAGGGTTTTGGCGAAAAGGAGGCATAAAATTTGGCTGAATACGAACAATGATACAAACAAATGAGCAAAAAATATCAGTATTTGTTTATCTGCTTCTATGCAATGTTGTTAGCTTACGGGCGTCGTTGTGTCTGTAACTGCATTCTTTTCTTGCGGGGTACAGGACTTACTTTGGACGGATTCATCTATCAGTTTAGACAGACTTCTGAAGATGAAGCCATACCAGAAAATAAACCACTTTGTTGGAACCCATGCGATTACACGGCAAGCCCCACAGAAAAGACCTTTTTGTTGCCAACAAGCAATTAATTAATAATCTTTAGTGTGCAAGTAGTGGTTTCAATCAACAAGCAAGGCGAAGAGTAGATAATGCATGGTTTCTACCTTCCACGTTCCATACAAGCATCCTCTAGACTGACAAAATATGATAGAAGGCCAAGGCCTGCCTTTAGAACTATCTAAACAGCTTAGACAATACTGTGTTCTCAATTCGTTGTTATTTAACATCACTACCGACCGGTTGAACTATCTGTTTAGTGTATTAGTATCACTTGAAATCTCCCTATGGACTTGCTTTCTCCCGTGTGTTTTTCTTTTTTCCGAAGCAAAAACTACCTGGGAAGGACGCTGCAGCGCATGAAGGCGTATTATCCCAAAGAATATAGATTCTTTCCTTCTACGTTCATTCTCCCTACAGGTGCGGTTCAAACCAACGAATCTGCGCGAGTTGCGACTAGAGTTGCTGCTGCTGCTATTCTCTTATTCAGTCTCTTTACTGGATCTGCGCCTTCTTCTGTCAACGACGGTACTTGTAATGGGGAGAAAAGCTCTGTAATCCGCATGGTCTAAGCGTAAAACCGTAATAAAATTTGTTTACTCGTTGAAGCGAATTAAACTGCTCGTTTTCCAGGGCTGACGTCCTGCAAAGAGTCCACCGGCTTTTCTGCGCGTGCCCTTCGGTCGTCATGCCTTAGTTTACGTTTGTCTGGCTGCAGATTCAGCGCGTAAAACTGCTGCATTTATTGCTTGCGAGCTATTACAGCTGATGTTTATTTGCAGATGCGGGGGCCTTGCGAGCTCAGTTTTCAGATAAACGACGGAAAACATTTATTCTAAAACCCGAAAGCGGCAGCCAAGGGAGAGGCATTTGCTTGGTTCAAAGTGAACAAGAGATTTGTTTTAAGGAGCACTTTGTAGCTCAAAGATATATTCATAAACCCTTTCTTTTAGACGGCCTGAAGTTCGATTTGAGGCTGTACCTCCTCCTCACAGGCTGCAACCCCTTGAGGGTAAGCAGCAACTCAATGCAGTTCAGTATCCCAATAATTTGCCGTACAACAATCATTACTGTCAATTATAGTAAACACAGTCAATGGAAACAGTACAAACGCACATTGTAATAGACAATATCAGTGCAGGTACTACAAACGCAGGTTGTGAAACGGAGCACAGACAAATGTTACAATTGTCTATTGTCACGGACAAACTAAGTATGAATACACTGCCCACAGAAAAGGCTAGACTACTTCACGCATTGAAGAAAGCAGCTGCAACCAAGTGAACAGTATAAAACATTACTTACAACTGAATACTCTCCTTTTCTTCTTAACCATATAATGCTAAAATAAAGGAAGGAAACCGTTGCTATACCCCTATACTTACACAGTACAGGCAAGACCATATCAGTCAAGAATACACTAACCCAAGCTGAATCTCAATTTTGCATTTAGCTGCCTCGTTTATAAAGCTCAGATATTGCGTCGCGAAGAGATAATATACACTTCATTACTTATGGCGCAAGGTCTACGGGTTAGGTTGGAATGTTTACGGTCCAGGGCCTATGTTTTACGGTTTATGGTATTAGGGGTTTGCATGGTCTGAGTGAATTGTTTTTGTTCTGAAGTTCAGCTCTTTCTGCACAAAGAAGGGCTCGTGAGATTTGCCACACATACATACCAAGCCCCAAACCGACGCAACAGAGGCGACCTGTGCATGCACTTAACAAATTACGCAATCAATAAGTCATCAGCAGATTTTCAACAGACAAAAAACCCGCAAGAAGCTGCAGACGGGCATAAGAGGAGTCTCTTCCATGTTATGGAAAGACTAAGACAAGACGTAAATTCACGGCCACACGCTGAAACCGCAGCTACAAAGCCACCGACTGCATGCGTTCAAAGTTTACAGTTTAGGGGTATTTAATTTTCTAGGCTAATTCAGAGAGCGGGGGACCCTGAAAAGTCTCATATGTGATGCCATGCGAATAAACAAACGATAAAAACATATATATACTTGTTCACGTTATCTATCTATCTATGCAGTGTCTACAATATACTTTTGTATGTATTTATGCATTTACACGCATATCGGCATCTTCCATATGCATTATACTTGCATATACACAGATGAGTATTGCACGTTTCACAGACACAAAAGGAACAATTTGTTGGTTAGAGGGTGTTTGCCCCTGCAGGGCAGAGATGTGGAGTTGCTGAAAGAGAAGATTTGTTCAATGCTTGTAAAAACAATTATCGGCATTCAACCCTCTTTAGCCCATATTTACGCGTCGTGCCACTCCGAAGACGAGACTGACGGAATGTGTTTTGAATTGTTCGGGGTCGATGTCCTCCTAGATCATAAGCTACAGCCCTGGCTTATTGAGGTACCGCATGAATATATTTTTTACCTGATCCCTAGTTTATGGCCATAGTTATATATATGCAGGTGCTTGTTTATATGATACTTTACACCATCGGAATATATTAGTGGTCCCATATCTGCACCTTTTCTCTTCCTCTTTTGCTCCTTATTTTTTGCGTGGCTTATATCGACATACATCCCTATTTGAAACTCCATTATTCGACTTAAGCTTCACATATTTGTTTCTCCGCTCTTTGATGGACGCAACACCTCCAGCACACTTGATGTATCTCCAACGAGATAACTGGATTTTCTCCCGTTGTTCAGGTCAACCATTCTCCGTCTTTTGCAACTGACAGTGCACTTGACAAAAAAGTGAAATTCGAAGTAATAAAAGACGCGCTGCATCTTGTTGGATTGTCATCTAAGAACAGAAAGAGGTAAGCAGCAAGCCTTCCTTTGCATTCCCCTCTACTGCTGCTCCCCGATGCAAAGTTCGGAAAAGAGCTAAAAACATGAAAACGCAATTTATGGCGTCATACCTGTTGGCTTCTTTCTTAGCATTAAATCCTGGTCTCCGCTATTCTCCCAGGTGCTTACTTAAGGGGGCAGATGTGCCGTCGGAGAGTCTGTCCGTCCCTCTTTCTTTTCTTTGTGCATTAACTTCAGGTTTAATGCAGCTCAGAAGAGCGTTTTAGAACGAAATTTAAAGCTGCGCTCTTCTTCCGAACTCAAGCAAAGTCGCATGCAAGAAAGAGAACAAGTGAAGGCTGAGTTGGCAGTACAGCGCACAAAGTGGGAGGAAAAACACCTCGGCGGTTACACCCGAATATACCCGACGCCAGACTGCGAAACCAAATATAAACACCTCTTCGAAGCGGCCCAGGAAATATGGGCAAATACAACAGGTGTTCTGCGCTGTAGGCCGCTGTTTGATAGTCTACGTAAAAAACGAGAAAAAAATTACTCAGCAGCAGCAGACACCGCACCTCCGCAACAAACAGCGAGTGTACAGGCACCCCAAGCACGCGATGAGTGCAAAAACGAGCCGGTGTACAGGTACACATCAGACCAACGTAACTTCCGAGACAAACAACAATTCAACAAAAACGTGGTCCCTAAAGCTCCCCTCAGAAGCAATAGCACCGCCACAGCCCCGCTTGGCCGCATGAAAGGCAAATCTTCACCCCGCCCTTGCTTTGAATCAGAGCAACAACAACTGCAACAGCAACAAAAGCACCAGCAGCAGCCGAAAAATCTTATCTCTGATGCCCAGACTGTTTCAGGAGATGTGCGTCTACCCGCTTCAGTACCAGCAGGTTCCCCGGTGTCTCTTTCTTCATTTTGCAACAACGCATTGATCAACAAACAAAACGAAGAAGCTCACGTTTACGCAAATTGCAAAGCAGAGACAGCCCCGTCTCAGGCATCTACAGAAGAGCCTTGTGAAACGGCAGACACATCAAAAACGTTTAGCATATCCCTCGGAAGCAGCTCCGGCAGCTCCACCCTCCTTTCCTCCGTATCTAAGCTGAGCAGCAGCAGCAGCAGTAGTGGTATGCAGATTAATTTACCTCCCGAGAGGCTGAAGGAGTTGCACACTTGCGTGCAAAGGGGTGACGGCAGGAGGCGAGTGAAGTCTGAAGTGTACAGACAACAGGAGGTGTACGGACAACGCGCGGGGAACAGAGGGTTGCCTTTGAACCTTACTCGTGTTGACGTTTCCTTCACTGCAAGGCCCGAGCTGCAGTGCAATAAGACCGTAAACCGTAAGCACAGCCCACGAGTGCCTCTACCGGCCTCACAGCAGCAAGCAAAGAAATCATCTGCTGCATGTTCTAGTCCCAAGAAACACAATATGACGCAAAAGTCAAAACTAAAAACGAAGAACGGCAGTAAAATTGCTCGGAACTAAGTATCTTGAAGGTCCTTTATATTGATGTACGTTTACACGGCATTCTTTTGCCGCCTCAGTGTAATTTCCCACTTCTCTCTAGTTGCAGTTCTGCGTTTATTCTTGAGACATAATACAATATAGAACAAAAAGATATAACTTTGTACAATATTAGCCCACAGTACAGTGTACGGTGCATGCATTACGGCGACATATTACCGTCTATTTTACTATAATGCTAGTGCAATATTCTAAATACTATAACGCAGCACTAGTAAACAGTATTCCACTGTACTACATTGTAGTACTTAGATATTGTAGAGTTAATCCCTGCCTGTGTTCATAAGCAGCGCTTTTCAGGAAGCTACTATTTTAATACAAGCGTGCAGTCCCCATGCTTTTGCCTTAACCGCTATAACCGCGGCCTTTTGTTTCTATCCTTTTGCCGTCGTAGCTGCTCTATTTCCTCTGAACTCTTCCCTCTTACTCGGTATGCCATTGCGCACACAAATTAGGTTTGCGTTCTGTGCCGTCTCAAGCACAAGCTTCATTTTGCTCTGTTTACCTTTCTATGTATCTGCACTTGCTAGCTGATTGTGTCTCTATTTGCGGGTCCTGCTTGTCTAGCTAACTTCCGACACACGAATATTAACTGCACTTTTCTGTGTACATCCACGCAAAACTCGGCTTTGCCATGTCTCGCGACGTTTGCAAAGGCATTACTGCGCTGTTCGCCTACTGCTCTTTTGACCGAATTCCCAAGGCACTTTTGGGGGGTATAGCTTTTGTTTTGCAAAGGCTGGGATGTCTGTACACTCCGTATCGCTACATGTTTCTAGATCGATGATCCCCTTGTCCTTTTGATTTGCTTCTTTGGCTTCTGCTGCGGTTCTGGGTGAGCTCTCTCCTCCCCAGGAATCATACGCTGCATAGACAGCCTCTTCGAGGGGCTTCTCTAAACGCAGCTGGCGGTAACGAGAACGAAAGCCGGCACATGAAGGCAAACAAGCCAACAACTCTGTCTTTGTGGCGGCGTAATAGTCCACCGTTAACCCTGAAGTACCCATAGACGCATTAACAGAAACGCATATACGCAGAGATAAAACATGAAAAAAAGGGTCTCAATGCATACACACACGCAGACTGGTTAGCACATAAACCAATAAAGCATTAAAGCATTAATACGTAACCATACGCCCTAGATCCTCAACAGGAACAAGCACAAACGCAAGCATACGTACACAACAATCGCCACACATCAACATATGCACATAAATACATATATATAACAACACACGAAATCGCACACAAAATGGATTTCAATACAGGTAAAATTTACAGTTGTGGTGCTAAACATCACGCTAACTGCCTTCAACCTCAGTCTTTTAGAGTGAATGCTCAATGCCAAGCCATTGCCATAGCCGTATTCCCTAATCCCTAGGGCTGGACTGTCTCAAATTTGAGTTTTGGCTTCAACCCTGTTTCTGGTGCCTTTATAATTGCATTTCAAGGAGGACGCCGGCAAATCTAAACATGGTGAAGGAGCAACAATATATATCCCTCACGCCCCCCTAACAATGTCGATATTTACATTGCAGGAGTAGAGGACACAGTGGTGCAGGAAGTAGAGAAAACGTTTCTAGAGTTCCAATGCAGGCGTAAGGACACGCATTCACTAAAGGGAGGCGGATAACCCCTCCACATTGACGGGAAGAGACAGACAATGCGCTCTTGTTGGCGTCAGAACAAATGTGTACAGATTATACATATGTGCACACCAAGGCCACGGGGCGAACCACTGGGAAAAAGAGGCAAGCACTGTAAATAGCCACTTCCGATGAATTTTTGTAACAAGCTTCATGTCCGCCACAGGCAACAGAGAACAATCGCACGATGTGCATAAAAATAACCATGCACAGTCGCTATTGCCGAATATAAACGAACTGTTCTATTGAACGAATAGGGACTGACAGACACAGACACCCACCAGGAGCTGCCAGCAGCTGCAGCCTTGCCGCCATTTGCTTCGTCACAGCAGGGGCCTCAACGCCAAATGACAACAAGATTGCGTTGATGAAGGAAGGCACCTGCCATCTTGTACAGAAAACACGAACACCAACGAAAGAAAAAGAGACAAATATAGAAAAACAGACTGCTAAGCAAGGAACAAACGAACGAGCAAGAAAACAGAGGGGGAAGAGGAAGAACGTGCACATCAGCAAGCAAAAATAAGCAAAGCACGAATATAAACTGAAACGAATACAAAAACGACAAACACTGAACACCTTAACTGCAAACACGAAAACCAGAAGAGACAAATAAGCGGAAAACGAAAAATAAATATGAAGAGCAGCACGTGCAAACAAGATGAAAGCATAGTAAATACTGATGCTCAGAGCATGCAAATGCCAAGAGAGAACGAAGCAAGAACAACTTTGTCTCACTTTTGATATTTAAGGCGGTTGCACTGCATGGCGTACCAACCCAACAAGGACCGGTACATTAGCTCACAAGAGGCCCTCAGGGGCCCCTTATCTTCCCAAACAGGACGGTGGCCCACCAAGGGGCCCACCGCCGTCATTAGGGAACCCCCGCTAACCCTCTCGTGGGGTATTTGGTCCCCGTTTTCCCTCCCGCAAAAGCTATCTGGCGAGTTCTGTGAGGTACTTGCAACCAAAGAGTGTTTGGACAAATGCGAATCACTGGTACACGTCTTCTCCCCTTCGCAAGGAACAGGAGGCCTCCGGAGATCTGCGGTGGTAGCTGCCGCCGCAACAGGAACTGCAGCAGTTTCTGATGCATGCGCCGCCACAGAAGCGCCGGCAGGAGCAGTATCTGCAACAGAAAATGTGCCTGTCTCTGCAGTTGAAGCACCAGCAGAAGCAGGAGCTGAAGTGGCAGCTGCAGGAGCTGCAACATCGGCAGCACAGGCTGCCGCATCAGAATCAGCAACAGGAGCTCCAGCACCAGCAGCATGATGCTCGTTGCTGCTTGTGTGCGCTGCCGAAAGAGCAGCGGCGAGGCGGTTAGCAGCTTGTCTGTATGATTGGACCCCCTCATCGGCACCCATGGCAGCAGCAAGCAACGGATTAGGCTGCAGCAGCTGTAACGTCTCAGCAGCAGACAACTCCTGGAGCGGAAGACCCTCCTTATATGCTTCAAACAAGAAATGCCCGTCTAAGTCACTGAGAGCCAAAAGCTTGCGCCCTTGCCTGTGTATGCCAACAAGCAAACACTCGCAAACAGCAAATGCATGAATTGTTTCTGTAATAGTAATAGTAGTACGGACAATAATATATGCATACAATATATTACCCACTAGCCAATAAGAAGATCACAGAGCAAATATCGTCAAAGAATTGAAAATATGAAGACGAGGATCACGATGCAGCAAGCGAGAAAATGCAATCTCTAGCTAAATTATGTCAAGTGCTTTAGCAACACGGGGTCATCTATATGTAAACTTGAGGGAGTTCACTCATGAATTTCCCAGAATGTAACTGAGGCACTTCTGACATTACGACAACAACAAAACCAACTACGGTAGCAGTTGCAGCTGATCCTCTAGCAGCAACAGGTGCGCCAGCTTTCCATACAACAGCAGCAGCAGCAAACCAGCGAATTCTCCACCTGGGGGCCCTTACAACCCGCTGGACGTAAAGATCCGTGTCTTTGGGGGCCCCAACCTGTGAGGCAGAACACAGTTTGTAAAGCTTCTTGTTCATTTGCCTTTTAATTTTATATAAGCGTACTGATATGTTTTCCTGCCGCATTTAACTGTGTATAAACGCACTTGTTTGTTTCCACGTACGTACACATATACAAATGCAGGCATGTGAACATGTATACATTTGTACGTGGACTGTGTATGCTGCCTGGACTGCCTGGTGTGGTTGCGGCTGATTCTTTGATTGTGCGAATTTGTCTTGGGCCTCAACTTTTGAAGTCTGCTTTCCTACCTGCAGGAGAAGAGATGGGGATCCGAGCTGCACTCCCACAGCCGCCACATCAGTACAAAATAGAATTTTCAGAGCTTTGTGTCTCGTCTGCTGTTTTCCACCTATGAATTCAGGTGTCTCAGAAGCAACAGCGTCGACGACTGCTCTCCTCTTCTCTCCTGACAAACGGCTGTGTAGGGCAAAGAAATGAGGAAGAGGGGCACCCACAGGCCACCAGGCCCTCTCCTCTAACACTCCAAAGCATGCCGCATCAACAACACTGCTGACGCTGCTGCCGCTGTTGCTGTTGCTGCTTCTGCCACTGCTGCTGCCCCTGTTGCTGCTATTGTTAATTGCATTGTTGGTGCTACAAAGCTGCCTCTCGCCTGTCTTTTGCAGCTGCTGTGCAGCAAGGATTTTGTTCACATTCGGGAAAAGGTAATGCTTGAAGAACGCGTAGTGAAACTGGAGACTTCTGGCGCTGTTAAAGAAGACAAAAACCCTTCGAGAGGCGGCTTCGAGGCCCCTCTCTTCAGCTGCACGTGCATTGGATTGTGCAGCAGCCGCTTCTCTTGCAAAGGCATTAAACAGGAAATGTGCGTGCAGCTCCGGCGGGTACAACACGAACTCTTCTGGTGAACGGTTGGACCCCTCCCTAACAATCACCCGTCTCCCCATGCCCTCAAGTGCCTCTGGCTCCTGACACCCCACTACAGGGAAACGCAAGGAGTCTCCAAACCCCAACTGGAACTTCTTCTTACGAATAAACTCCTCACTGCGTTTGGGGCCCCACAATGCATGCGGGTGTGCCAAATGCAAAATGCCTCCCGAATTCGCACGGCCACCTAAGATTTTGCAAGAACCCATGGGCCCCTCTGAACAGGGCCCCCCAGCTAGGGGAGGTCTGAGAGGAGAGTTCTTGGAATTGAGAGCCTCAGGTGCAGGCATATCAGGAAAACTACATTCTTCTTCTGTGGGGGACCCCACTTTCCCACTTGTGAGGAGCCAGGGGGGCCCTTGCGCACTCCCTGAAGCCTCTACAGTATTTACTGTCTGTTCGTTGAGCGCAGCAGAGGTCCAGTTGCTGCTACGCTGTTGGGCAGAATTGGTGCTGCCTGCTTCCGTTGATAGAGGGAGCAGGGGCGGTATCAAGCGAGCAGCTGTGAGGGCTTCGCAGTACTCGACTGCGTTTAGACAGAAGGAGTTAAGATTCATCAGCCGCGAGGCACTTCCACGAACTTCCCACGACAAACTGCTGGAGAGCAGAATAGACTTATGAGCTGCATCACACAAGAAAAACCACGACAACCACAAAAACCGCAGCGGGTGGTGCCGCTCCTACTTTCCCCGTGCTTTGCGCACCTCCCTACGGGATTAACGACCCGAGAACCAAACACAGCCACTCTCTTCAGTTGTAAGTACCGCTCACCCACTGGTAATAGCTCCTTCATTTTCGCCAGGGCTGTCATCATGGAAGGCTCTTGCAGCTGCAGAGGTGCGTCTTCAATAATGAAAAATTTGCAATTCGATAGCATGTGAGGTGTATCGGCCTGAGGTCTAGTGCAAGGTATCTTTAAGCCCTTGTAATTCGCAGCAAGCATAAAGGAAACGAACTCCTCCATCTTTCCAGGAGTACAGACAACCACATGAGGCTGCGCATGCAACAGAGCCTCAAACCACTCCCAAGGGGCCCTCCCAGACCCCCCTTCACCGGGGCCTCTCCCCACCAACACTTCCACGCGCAACCCGCTGTAGCGACCCAATGCCTGCAACAAATTCCGCGTCTGTACCGCCATATCTCGTGTTGGAGTTATGAACAGAGCACGTATACACTCCAATGACGCCACCTCCGGGACCCCAGCGGCCCTCCCCCTCGCCCCAAGGCCCCCTCTGAGGCCTTCTGACGCTCTGAGGGAGCTCGGCGAAGAGGTATACTGGCCGTCTATGGCTTCTATTAGGTGGCAGACAAGTGCCAGTGCTGCTGCAACGGATTTACCGGTTCGTGCCGGCCCTGCAAGCAACACATCTATCTGGGGATGCAGCAGCAGCGGCAGCGCGACTTGCTGCACCGGCAGCAGATGCGTGATCTTTGCACCTCTTGACAAGCCCAGAAGGACTTCCTGCGGTATGGCACCTGCATGCACAGCGGAGGCGGATTCTCGCTGAACAAGAGACCCTGATACTGCCCCAAATCCCTCCTCCGCTCCCACTGCGGCAGCTGCTGTTGGAACCCCCTCCTGTGCTGTTTCCGTTAGCTCAAGCCGTAGAGGACGCGGCAAAGTCTTTATGACTATTTCCCTGTAAGAGCCCCCCCACGCGCGTTGTTTGGGAATTGGGAGACCCCTGCAGGTCTCCTGCAGCAAGGGGAGCCATGGCTCGTGGGGGCCCTCACTGCGCAGCAATTGCTCCAGAGGGTGAATGCTACATACGGGCTCCGAGGTCTGCAGGCACTGCAGATTTGCGTAGTGAGTGACGGGGGCGGAGAAGGGGGAAGAAAAGGCTACAGTGGAAGCATCAGTTGATGCAGACAACTGTGGGCGCAAGGCCGCAACTATTTGCCCAGAGGGTTTGTGTTGCAACGACTGCGAGAAACACCGCGAAAGCAACGCCACGGAATCCCGGGTGTTGCGCAAGAAAACTGCTGGTTTTCTTATTTTCTCTACTCGCTGTTGTCTACCCCACCTCCCGCTCAGTGCTGTATATCCTCTCAGCTGCATGAGGTTGTACTCAACAATGGCGAGTTCTTTACCTATCCGAGTAGAAAAATCAGGCTTCACATGGGAGGAAGGAAAGAAAAGGCAGACGCCAATGTTCGAATGATGGCGAAACTCGTGCTGAAACGCAACGAGTTCGGCAGCAAAGCCACAAGTGGAACGCACAACTATCAACCCGTCGATTCGCTGCGGGGTATTGACTGTATGGAAGAAGAAAATACCAATATATATGAAGGATATATGCGACCATATTCACATGTTTTCCACTACATTTGGTAGCAGCACGAAATGGAGGCAAGGCCCCGAGACAGTTGCTTGGATTAATCATGTCTCGCCATCTTCTACACGTTACTAATATCTGCACGAGGAGTCAAAGTCTGTGTTAAATGCATTTAGAAACGAAAAAATTTAACGTTATAGGTATACTGACGTAAAGAAGAAATATACCCCCGAAAAGGCCCTCGATACAGGGCCCCCAGAGGGCCCCCCAGAGTGGGCCCCCAACGGATTGAGGAAATTGTAGCATCGATTTACCATACCAAAAGGCCATAACAAGAGTACTTCTCTTAGCGAATAAGCTCCTAGCCCTTTTTAACGAGGGATAAGGCTGTGTATTGTCAAGTTGCTCCGATAATTTGTGATTTATGAGCGAAGGATGACTCACCGTCTGTCTGAAGTTGGCAGGTCTGTCTGAAGCATGGCGCATGAATCCTTGCTCGGCCTTAGCAGGCAGTTTGCTCGAAAGTAGCCTCCCTGCCCTCAAGCAGGAATCCTCAGCAATTGCGTGCAGGAATAGTTCATGCAGCAAAGGAAATTTAGTGCGGCATAATGCAGCCTAGCCGGTGCAGGGTTGGCAGGCCTCAAGTGGCCACAGCTACCCTTACCCGGCCCTAGTAGGCAAATAGTACTCAATCAAAAGTCTTCACGGCTTGTCTACCATACCATCCAGCTACGAAACCTTGCTTGTGTCTGCTTGTGGGGCTGTCTTGAACCCCTGGGTTGAGGCGAGGTGACTTGCACCTGCCGGCAGCACAGCCCTTCTCCCGTAGCTCCGGGGGTTTTCGGCACTGTGCTCTGGAAGCTTGGGGACTCGTGAGGGAATTCAGTTGCACTTGAGGAACTTTGAAGAATGTGTGTGACGAACGGAACTGAATCGTATCCATCGACTATTGAAAATTGCAGACCATAGATAAGATACAGGACCTCCGTCACACTTTGTCTGCCTGACGTTAGCAGTGTCTCTTCATTTGGCATATGAAGCCTGAATCAGCCTTGGTAGGCAAGCCACATACAAGCAGAACCCTTCAACAATTGTATACAGCGTCAGAACATGAGGCAAAGGAGGATTGGTTGCGTGCGCATGTGTGGTAGTAAGGTGAACCGCAACTCATCTGAGGGCCTCTCCTCTTCCCCAACTCCAGCTGATTGGGTTGTTGCGATCAGGCTGGTGAGGGAGGTTATCGGCGTTCAAGCAACTATCATCTTACGGGGTTTTAGATACACGGTATCTCTTGATTGTCACAGGATAAAATCGACGTCATTCATTTCACATCGTCTAGTTCCAGTTGCCTGCAGGCTTCCCACAGAGGGCTGCGAAAGTGCTCACCAACTGTGTACAATGTTAGTTCACCCAGCAATTTGGAATGAGGTCTGCTCCCCTGCTTTGCTTAGTTAATTGACGCCAGGAGACTTGCAACTCCCGTCGGACTTCCACGTCTCCGCACCACACGCCCTTCTGCTGCTGAGCCTAGGACGTGTGGTCAGTGAATCTGAGGCTGGTTGCTCTTGGAGGGAATTTGCACGCTAAGCCCTTCACTTGATTGTGCCCCACAAAGGTCTTCAAGGAAGTTTGGCGACTTCCCTCAGGCTCGTGAACGTCCCAACGTCCAATGCATGGAGAATTACTGCACCTGCGTGTCCGCCTGCGTGCTTTAGAGAGCCTGCTAAACCATAGAAAACAACTTTCCAGAAATGGAAGTGAATGCTGAAAGTTTCCTGTCGCATTTTCTTGCCTTCCCTTTTTCCGCTTTCTTCATATATTCCAGCGCTATTGCTAGCTGTATATGGATTTGCTCAACTGCAAGCGTATGGAACTAGCTTCCAACCGCCTGGCCTATCGTTGGGTAAGACGAAGGTGGTTAGGTTTAGACCAGGGAGGTCGAAGGCAAGAAGAGTGCACGTCTATAATAATCACATTCCTCACAACGTAGGGCATCAAACCACTTTAATTACTCCTGCTGGATAAAGCGTGGCAAAATCCATATTTATCAACTGCCCCAACTAGGATGGGTTTACCATATGTAAATGTAGCCCCCGACTTTACCAGATTACAATCGTATGCTTTTAGGGTTCCAACCGGCCTAAGCAAGGGTTTATCAGAAGGCGGTTGCGACCCTAACTATCTTGCAAACTGACACAAACCACATGGCTTTTGTGTAGAGGAGGCACCTTACCTTGAGGAGTACCACACTTGCCTGCATCTGCTGCTACAAGGCAATCGAGTAAGGAAGTGTAACCAAACATTGGGCACGGTATGCGCTAACACACTACAGAAAGTTGCTAAACAGACACCTGTACCTCGCTGGCCCTTCCTATACAGCCTGCAGGAAGGTATAGCTACGTGCCCCAACCTAACACCGTGTACAGGCCAAGAAACATGCAACCCCACAGTCTGGATTCGTGTCCAGACGACGAGCAATCATTGACTCTCCTACTAATTACGTCCCTCTGCTTGTACACATTTTAACTGAAGACAGAGGGAAGCTGTTATCGTCTTGATGCATGCTTGACAGCAACCCATACACGTTGGAATCTCCCACCGCGAACAACATGCGGCATTTCTTCTGTGCGCACCTCTTTTAACGAGCCGTTCCACACAGAAGCAACACGGAGATTCTGATGATGGGATGGTACATTTATTAAAATTCATAAGTACCTTCATGGTACATCATTTGAGCTGAATGCCAACTAAGGGCTGCCAGCGTGGGTGGTCACGAGCACGCCTTGTACAACACCACCACACACTGACACGTCTCGCGACATACGCTGGAAGCACGTGCTGTTGCAGGTGAACCTCCATGAAAACTACTGGGCTTTGTTCATGTCTCCTCGTTATTATCACCTACTTCTCATTCATTTGGCTAAGAATCGTAGTTTTTGGCTGCAAAATCTCACCCAACACTGTACAGCGGAGTGGTGAACCTGCATGCGTCGGTCTGTGCCAGCTTCACCAACAGGAATCTGTCTTCTGCCTGTTATCCGTTATGCCTTTTAACAAGTGCGCAAGCAACACACATACCATGTGATTTGTTCTAAAGCACCTTCTATAACCGCTCACCTGCATAGTTCACGGTGCGCTAGCACCTGCACATAGTGTATGTTTTGGGGGTTACTGGAGTCGATGTTATGGTTTCTTTGAGGCTGCTTTGTGTTGTGTTCCGCTTTTGTTAGGATGGCAATGACTCGAGTATTCTTTTCTTTGGCCGTTCTTGTGGGTTTTCCCGGCCTGAGTGCAGTGCTTGGGAGCTCCGAAGGCCCTGGTAATGAGCGGCACACACTGGGCACCGCCATCGACATGATATTTTCGCGGATTCTGGAAGACACTGCACACGAGTTGAGAAACGGCCGTGAGCTGCAGCGGTGCGGCAGGATTGGATTGCGGACTCAGGGAGAAGGGGGTGCCCGCTGCCGCCGCGTGTTGAAGGGGGAGCCTGAGGAGGCCGAAGAGCTGCTGCCGTTTCTACTAGGGGACGAAGACGCGATGAAGCTGTGGAGAGATCATTTTAGGCGCCATGTGAATGACCTCGTGAACGAGGCAGCCGAGCACAGCGGTGCAAACACCCCCATCCACGGCCCAGTCTTGAAGACTCTTGCAGAAGGCGAGTTCTGGAGCAGCCGCCCGGCTGTGAGCAACGCGGCGCTGCGGCATTTGCGGCTGAAGATGCAGCGCATGAAGTTGTCAGCTGCCGAAAAAGGCAACAACCCCGAGCTGGCTGTGAGCTGGGAGGCGGAGGTCTCGCCGAGGTTTAAGTACCACAGTATCAAGGATGCGAAGAGGCTGATGGGGACGTATCTTAGCTGGTACGAAGATCCAGAGAAGCCTGCTGTGCCTTTGGGGGACCCGCTTCCAGTGAAGAGATTTGAACTGCAAACGGGGGAACAAGGGGAGGAGGAGGCAAACTTCGATGCACGGGAGGCGTTTCCTGACTGCAAAGACATCATAGGACATGTGAGAGACCAGGGAGACTGCGGCTCTTGTTGGGCGTTCGCCAGCACGGAAGCTCTCAACGATCGGTTCTGTATCAAGACAAGCGGCAAGCACTCGGAAATGCTGTCTCCGCAGCACACCACTTCTTGCTGTGACCTGCTCCATTGCTTGTCTTTTGGGTGCAGCGGGGGGCAGCCCCGCATGGCTTGGCGGTGGTTTGCAAACGATGGAGTGGTGACTGGAGGCGACTTCAATGAGCTGCACAAGGGCAAGACCTGCTGGCCCTACGAAGTGCCTTTCTGTCAGCACCACTCCGACGGGCCTTACCCCCAGTGCGATGGGCCCCTTCCCAAGGCTCCCAAGTGCAGGAAAGACTGCGAGGAGGTGGAGTACACCACGAAAGTTCATCCTTTTAAGGACGATCTGCACTTCGCCTCCACTTCATACAGTGTAGAGGGCCGCGACCACATCAAGAAGGAGCTCAAGGAAAACGGAACACTCACAGGAGCCTTCTTAGTCTTCGAAGACTTCCTCATGTACAAAAAGGGGGTGTATCATCACGTCACCGGCATCCCCATGGGTGGTCACGCGGTAAAAGTGATTGGCTATGGCAGTGAAGAGGGCAGGGACTACTGGCTAGCTGTCAACAGCTGGAACGAGTACTGGGGAGATAAGGGCACCTTCAAAATACAGATGGGGGAGGCTGGCATTGATAAGGAGTTTTGCGGAGGCGAGCCAAGAGTACCTACAAACCTAAATCCTTTCTTGCAACAGTCAGCACAGGATTTATGAACTCGAGCAACTCATCGTAAACCCAGCGTTCCAGGGGGTAAAACCAGCCCTTGGAGCTTCATGCATATGCGCGGTGCCGCTTTTTGCCCCGAGAGTTGCAGAAGTGGAGGGAGAGCAAGCCACATCCAGCGATGGCGGTTGTGATGTACACATTGTGCATGCACAGGTATGTGGTTCCATATTGAACGTTCACAGTGTTTGTCAACGGCCCCGCAGTAAGAAGTTGTTGCAGTGTGTGTGATGTGTAGAGGCCGCCAACGGCAGCTTCTAGTGATGATAGCACAGCAGTTCCCATATTCGGAGTAGACGGAAAATATGACCCGTCTGCAACATTGCAACCTGTCGCGTGCCCCTGTTGTGAGGGGTCGTTACACAGGGCCCTTGAAACAGGTGACAAATCCTCCGCCCCATTTGTCGCCACGAAATTGCTTTTTTTTTGACAGAATTATCATCAATATTTGCTTGGCTAGAAGTTGAGACGTAAAGGGGAAATTGCGATATTTTTAGATCTAGGGTGACAGCTGCACTTCCCTACGAACTAGGCCTTCGAGCCAGACAGGGTATTCGTGTCATTGTGACTGTCGAGTTTGTGCATGGATATTCACGAACAGCGCTTAAATATTCGCCTTAAAATTCGCCTGTTGAGCATGCAAGTACTCGCCCGGGCGAACGCTCCACTGGAGTCCAATGCACTGCACTATGCTCCAAAAACCTCCATTCACAATGGGGCGGTCCTCCTGCTACTCCAAACAGTGCGGGCCAGCGGCAGGTCTTGGACGCTAGAAACGCTACAATAATTACACTACACCAAAAGTAACTAGCGAGGAGCAGTGTTATCTGCAGGGACACCGTGTACGTCTGGCATGCAGCCTTCAGTTCATATGGAACCCCTCAGTTGTAGGGCAAATCACCAGGTGGTTATACAGAGTAGGAAGTTCGCGCTGTTGATGAACTTGCTGGTGAGGATTCAACGAGTAGAGCAGAAGATTCCGCCGTCTACTGCGCGTTCAATTGTCCACATTTTATGTTGATTAATTCAGCAGGATTCACGCATGTGCGTAGGCACTCACACAGTAAAAATCTCTACACGCGTAGATTATAAGCACCTAATCTTGCAGAAGTGATGCGGTGTTGGTGGGCTGAGGGGATTCGCTTTTCACTTTGCCTTCGCGAAAAGGTTTCTTGGCCAGGATCCACCTGCAGGACAGAGACCGAAACAGCTAATAGACAAATATGCTAAATTTGCATTTTATTGTACTCCCTGTGAGCTTTGCACTCGATGAACACACCAACATGAATATCATGACATTCAAACTGGCCACTGTCTGTATACTGAGGTAGGCAGAGACCACCGTCGACGAGTCTGTCTGTCCGTTCGCTCCACGCAGTGTACTTTTGCGTGAATTATATCTCGCTTTCAGGTCAAAGCCTTTGTTTCTATCTTCAATGCTTGTTTTAAGATGAGTTGAGCGTTTGCAGTCTAGTGTAGATAAGGCGGGTTGGTGTTTGGGGTCTTATCTAGAGGCTGTTAGGGGGGTTGAATTAGAGTGTATTTGACATCTTAGTGTAGGGCTCTTCTTGGTGTCTGTTTGAGGGGCCGTCGTGAATTTGCCTACTCTGCGGGAATTGCCACCACCCACTGCAGACCCCAGGCAACGAAGAACAAGAATGCAAGAACCGCGAAAGACAAGCAGCCGGCAATCCAAAGGCATGCTCCTTTGTAGAGGCAGGATCCCTGAAATGAAACATATTTGTTCGTTTGACCCGCATATATTGTAACCACAATGTTGCACAAATACACACAAACACACACACACACACACACACACACACACACACACACACACAGACACACATCCACCGCAGCCTCTTTCCAGTTGTTCAAGTAGGGCCCAACTCTGCTAGTTATGCTGCTGCTGATGCTGCTCTTGTTGTGCAGGCATACACCTCCTAAACCCTGCCTTACCGCAAAGACGCAGGAGCATTCTTCGCCTTCTTTGCCCTGGGAAGTCTGCAGATAGGAGCAGCCCACAATGTGTATACAGCTTAAATGCTGCAAGCTCCGCTAAGGAGTTCGTGAAATTCCACTGTAAGGCGCAGGTTGGGCGCTTACCTGCAAAGCAGAGAAAGGGTCTGCGGTTGCTGGAGCCTGAGAGGGCTCTTCTCGTTTTGCATTCTCGCCTTCAGGGCCACCGGCCTGCTGAGTTAGAGAACTGTCCGTGGGGGCATCTGGCACCTCACTGATACTTCCCGTGTGTAGGTGTACGCGGGCAACAAGAGGGGAGCCGGCGGGCGGCAGGGGTTCAGCAGAACCATTGGTGAGGATATCTTCCTTTGCTCTGGCCTGGTGGGATAAGCCTGATGCCACAAGCCACATGCCACGTACAAAAATATATGTACTAGTATAACAATATGCATCTACTGGTTGTTCGACCGTTTACCACAAACCCTGAACTCCTCCCCAGATTTATTTGGGCGTCATCGCAAGAAGGGGTCTCTCCCATACAGCTGCGATTCAAAAGGGATTTCTGATGTTGCGGCTGACCATAAGAGGGTCTGGTGAGGAGAACGAGGCAGCAAAATAGCCAAACACACACCGATGAAACCATCGTGCCGACGGTCTAAAAAACTGCAGGCGCCCGCTCGAGTGGTTGCGACTCTTTGACGATCATTTAGGAGTTTCTATGGAGATAGACACTCCCTTGCTGAAGGCATCTCTAGTGTGACGAACCCATGGAATCTCTGATCATGGGAAATGGCCTTTGGTGCGCCAACACGGTAAACAAACGACCGGGAGGAAACTGCTGAAGGAAAATACCTGAAGGAGCTTACGCGCCCTAAAAAATATATTTAATCAAGCAAGGAGGGTCAGGCCTGCATCCATCCACGGGGCAATGTGAGTGTGGGAACAGTGTGGGCGGGCAGGCAGTCAATCGATGGCTGCCTCAAGAGAACCACTCGCTTCGCAGAATCAAGTGGGAACGAATAGAACGATGTTAATGACTTCTTATATATACTGGGGGAAATAAATGAAATCCACCTTTTGCTTCTTTTGAAGCAGTGACGGAGAGTGAACATTCAATCAAGCGGCTTTCAGGGCCAACGCAAGAAATTCGGCTGGTCAACCCCGATGCAACAGGCATGCACAGACGAAGAAGAAACGACGCCACCTATTTTCAACAGAAGGAATATAAAAATATATTGCTATATTCCTTCTATGAGCCAAAATGTTTTCAAGGGCATGGCCTCTCAGCTCAGCAGCATATTCATACTGAGTTATTACATTGTATTGAGGAAGAACTTAACCGACCACACCTCCACACACCATACGCACCGCTTATCCATCAGAGTGCATGCTTAATGGGGAAATGCCTTTAAGTTGCTCAACCCATGTGACACTGTGGTTGCTTTTTCCTTTAAGCCCGCAATTCTTTAACATAGTGCCAACAAAACCAGCGGTAGCACTCGTGTCTATAAGCAGGGGCTTCCAACAATTCCGGAGGACATTTTCCGGTGATACTTCCATTGAGGGCACTCAGTGTGGCTACCGTAGACACTCTCAAGAAGGGCGTCTGAAGAGAACGGATTCCTAGCTAGCCCCAGCGTCAGTTATTACAAAGGAGTGGTGGTCTTGGAGGAGCGCAGCGGAACGTGCAGGTGCAAAGCAAATGGAGGTAGCAGAGGCATCTTTAGGGACCAACGATCCTTGTACTACATCAGTCGAGGAAAGGGAAGAAGACAAGCAAGACCCATTTCTGCTTGCTGCCGACTTAACCGCACTAGTATGATCCCCACAACCCTAATCTAAAAATTGCATCTATGCAAAGTTCAGTGGCTGTATAAGAAGTCTCAGTTTCTGGGTCGCAAAATGCACTTACTGGTAGCTTGTAGCTGTTTTGGCACCTCACCTCGTATTAAAGCCTTTGTAACAACAATAGCGCAATGTAAAAAGTACCGGCATTTCCAGTCGGAAGCCATCGTACGCGTTCGTTTATTTAGGGTGCGGTTCTCACGAAAGTTGGCCTGTGCATCTGGCAGGACACCGTAGCAGTCTCTTGAAGTTGCCAGTGCAACAAACGTCATTTGGGAAGACATCCGAGCAGTTCACTGCTGTTGCCAGTACAGCGAACGTGAAGGAGTTAGGCAGTGCAGAACACAACGGGGTTGCTTATCGGAAGATTCGAAGGGCCTGCCAAAGCCAGTTCCGTCATTCTTAAACGACTTAGTCTCCTTCGTCTCATGTTTATTCCTGTACTGCACCCTATGCAGTCTGCACAAATTGTGGCACCGCCCTGTGGTAGAAACCGATGCCTTTGCCTCAACTTGTATGAATTGCTCTAGCGGCTTGCTGGAGTTGTATCGACCGGCATTCTTTAGCCTGCAATGAGCCTGTATATTAACCTGCGTTTATTTCTGTCTCATAGGCCTCTATCCACGCGAAAAATGCGGAGTCGCTGAGCGCAGAAACGGGCATGAAACTAGAGTCTATTCTGTAAGCTAGGGTCGTTGTCGCCAAATAGACGGGAAAATAAACTTTTATAAAAAAAAAGTTTCCGTGTTTTTTTGACACTACGCGATTAAGTTAAAAAAGAAGTTGATTTTGTCTCCATCAATTTCTGAATCAACAAAGGGTCGCCACATTTTCCACTACCCTGGGGATATAATACAGGACATACAGGTGCATGGTTGGCTACGTCGACGTGTGGAATGTTGCTGCTGCCGCTTTGCAGGAAGGAGTGCGCACGACTAGAAGCAGAATGTGAAAGGGTACTTGAACAAACGCAGGAACAGGAAAAGCCTCGAGAAGAACCTCCTCAACCTCAGCCGGAGGTTAAGGAGTCCTCACCAAAACAAGCAACTGCAACACCGAGTAGTTACAACAGAGCATCTGAGCCAGCTCGTTTCGTCCCAAAAGTAACGCGGGTTACGCCGAAGCCGACGAGGCTTTTACCGAAGAAGAATAACTCCACTCTTCAGGAGAAAACCCACCTTTCTCAAAACCGTGTCGACTGAATTCGTTACGTCTTCACTCCTTTGCCACCGTTAAAACGTAGTGCATGTTTACTACATAACAGTTGCATTACAACCGTGTCGACTGAATTCGTTACGTCTTCACTCCTTTGCCACCGTTAAAACGTAGTGCATGTTTACTACATAACAGTTGCATTACCCCGCCACGGGAGGCGATACTTTTCCACTCCGAGCCTTTCTTCTAGCTACCACTCAAATATGCCCTCCAATGTATTTTTCTGCGGTTGTGTTGCCTCCATCACCAAGTGTCAGCCCATGTCACAAAGCAGTCATCCATGCAACTTTAGGGCTACTCTAAAATTGCAGAACGCTACCATTGAACGGCCCACAAGGTCTTTTTAAATTTCAAGCCTGAAAGGACACAAGCGACGAACAACAATACCGCAGGGAAAGTCGTATCAACCTCATGTATGAAATATTCGCAGATAGTTTACCCCGACTGGAGTACAGCAGCTCCGAGAGACGCTGGTAAACTGCTATTAAACGGTGCGCCAACGATACCGTAATATGCAACGCCATCAGACAGGGATAACTGGTTTGAACTGGTTTCCACAAGTAATGCTTTCGGAAGCCAAGCGTTGTGGAGTCATCCTTAAGGCGCTTCTTCATTGATTAGATGTATTTCCCCTTACAAACCACCCGATGTGCAACTGATACTTTGCCTAAACGCTACGAAGGTTCAGTGGGACCCAGCTACCGCTCCATACCAACAACCCTCAAGTCCGACAACTAATGTTGTTGCTTGCAACTTTAAAGACATCCATGCAGAGTAATGTGTGTAACTAGCCTACGTATACGGTCCGTCTCCCGAGCATAGGGCCATCGGCAGTCTAAAAATCAACTGGAATACTAACCTATCTCTAAGGATATTCCACAACAACAAAACAAATCTTTCAACATAGGTAATTGTAGTTGTACCAAATAACCAAACAGCGCGCATCAAAGTGCACACTTTTTTTTGTTGCCCTTATCTCTGAATCAATTCCCGATGCCTCAAGGGCACAAACATAAAGCATGTTAAACCTCTACTGAAAAAATCAAGAGAGTGTAGCAGCATCCTCCTTCAGTAGTTGCGACAGTAACTCCTCAAGGGTAAATCAGAGAGAGGAACAATATACTTTTCATCCTACAACCGCTGCGCCCCTTGCTCCAGCGAAATGTATGCACACATACACACTGCCAGCAGATGTCAGGAGTTGCGACAGTAATTCCTCAACAACGGTTCAGAGAGAGGAACAAAATGTTATCATCCTTATCAGTGGCAGAACACAAAGTGCCTTCGTCAGATAGACAGTGTGAGGTGAAATGGATGTAGCTGAACGCCGAGGAGTACTCCGCAACCCCCTCCGGTAGCATCAACGCCTGCATGGCTCTCAGCAGTTGTTTTAACGTGGCACAGATTTAAAGCAGTATTATTCGCTTAACCAAGCCACGCAGATACCCTGCTTGCTCTGTTAATCCATTCTGCATATATGCATACATATACAATGATCATCTACAAGATTTGGCGAACCTCCGTTTCAGCAATGGGAGTAATCAAAAATGATTCATAGGACATGGATTCTGATGTCGTCATCGGAAACGCTAATTAAGCAGTTTTAGTCCATAAAGGCCTTTGTCAGAGCGATAAGGGATGCGTTCGCAGTTTGCTCATCACGGAAATCAGCGAGATTCCCA